TGAGGTCTCGCTACCTTTCACTTCCAGAAAGCATCACAGAGGGCTTAGGATTTCAACATACAAATCTTTTGAGAGGACTCAGGCATGCAGTCCATTGTATGTCCTCCTTGGTAATCTTGGCCAGATACCTGGACCTTCTATTTAGGGAAATACTGACGTTTATTATTTATCTTTGCCAACCCTATTCCATGGCGTAGATAGTTCTGTCTTCTGAGAAATGGCTTTTATCCTGCTAGCTTTCATGTTGCTACCGCATGTTCAACCCATCATTTCTGTTGAGCACTTTCCATCCTTGAATTGTATGTAGATGTTTTTTCTCTTGTTTTGTTTTGTTTTGTTTTGTTTTGTTTGTTTGTTAAGGGCATTGCATGATCTGTGTGAGCCAGGCTTATCTCTCTGGCTAATTGTGCATGTCTAAATCATCCTGTAGGCACACCGTATAGAGGACTCCACTTGCCAAGATGAAATAGATGTCTTGGATGATTTCTCCCTTAACTTTCCCCAGCTTCTCAGCTTTTCATCCTTTTTTCTTCCATGACAGCAGCCTTTAGAATGTTTGATCATTTGTGTGATTACCGGCTTAATTATTTGTGCTAACATTAGCTTTCATTAAAATAAGTTTGGAACGTTCTTGATAATGTAGGCTTTCTGCCTAATCAGTAATCAGTGCTTCCCCAAACTCTAATTACTCGAGCATCTCTCATCTCCTCCAAGCACAAATTAATACATAAACCAAAGAAAAATAGGCAGCATCATTTGACAATGTTACATGAAACCGATTGTATCTAAAACAGTTCTTAAGCTGTTGATTTTAGAAATATCCAAATATACAAAAGGAAAGAGTAGCACAATGAACAGATGGCCAAGGTTACTTCATCCTACCCTCAATTATTCCCCCATCTGAGATTGTTTTATTCCAAATCTAAAAGTTGTGCCAATATATCTGTACAAAAAAGGAATTCATTTGTAAGTGTAGAAATAATGCAACTTGCTAAAAATTTTATAGTAATAACTAGTATAACCATCTTCACATTTTCCCTGTCACTTTCTTGGTTCACAAGTTTGTTATTAATTTGTTGTCTTTAGTCCCTTTTACCTCCTTTGATATGTAGGTTCCACCATTACGTCTTCCTTCACTCATTTTCAATGCCTTTGTCTCTCCACAGAGCACACGTAAGTGGCCACCCTTACTACTAATATACTGTTTGCCCTCCTATCACTTGCACTAACTGATTCCACATCTTGGTCAAGGAGAGTACAGGAGTATCTTGCCACTCTGGAAGACAAGAAAAAAAGTGACTGGTGTTCACCAGACCTAGTAGTCAAGTTCCTTTCCACCTAGGAAGAAAAGTACCCGCAGGGGGTTTAAAAGTGTTACTCTTGGCAAGCCTGCTAGTAACTCAACCTCTTTCTCTCCTTTCCTTTGTCTGTTAAATGCTATTAGTAGCATATATACCACTATATAGGATGAAATGGAGTAATGCAATAAACAAAGGTGATAAACATTACTTATGAAGAAATTTTATGAGGCACCATTATCATTATGTTACAATTCTGCTAGCCAGTCTTTATTAGATCAGAACTATAAGGAACCATGATTCAGAAGCCCATGGACTCTACTGAACAAATCCAAAGAAGTCTGCAGAATACTTCAAAGAAGCATTGACAATTTCACCTGTTATTCAATAGAACTTTCTTTTCTACACCTTCAAGTCTAAAGCATTTTTTATTTCTAAGATTTATACTATTCTATCAAAAGTCTATTTTTTGCAGAAACCCCTTTTATCATTTATCAAATGACTAAATCATGCAATGTGTGACTAGACAAAGTTATACTCAACTCAAATACGGAGCCAGTGACAAATGAAAGAAAAAAACTACACCAAAGTCCAAGCTCGTGAACCAGTAAGTTTACTGGTTTGCTACATTAGCATGGATGTCTCAGAAGCATGCGCATCACCAAAAACTCACAAAAGCTCACAAAAGCTGCAGTCCCCAAACTCTGCACCATATGAAGGCGGCTTGACCAGTGGGAGAGTCTCCGCTCCACAGCAATGCTCACTGTTTAAATAACGTGGGTAAAAGAGGACCTTGGGAATCTTTTAAGTTTTAGGGACTTCGTCAGATACTCCTTGTGAGTTGCATTCTTCCTGACTCTTAAAGAGTCTGCTTCCAGGATGAAGCGTTTTCATACAGAACGTCCTGAGCCTTAGCAAGCCTGCCTGCAGTGTGGAGTGTTTCGGTCTTGAGGAAACTGGTGCACGGTCTGTGTAAAATATGCAGTGACTGCTCCCCCGGGGACAAAAGGCCTCCCTGAGCTCCAGCTACCCAGAGAAGTGATGTCAGATATCAGCTGCATACAAAAGCCCCAAGAAAGAAAAGTCGGAGGCAGAGTGCAAAATACCTCAGCTGTGAGGATGTTTAATCATTTTCTAACATCCTAACTCCATGTTTATAAAAGAAATTTCCAGACACGCCAGACACTGTTGACATTACAAAGCAAACGTTTTTCTTCACTCCTGGAACCATAGGTGAGAACTAAAACTACCTAAAACGGGCTTCTTTTCCACTGATCCTAGACAAATAAGTATGGTTATTGGTCATCACTGTCACCATCGTCACTGTTGAAGCATCTGCTCCATGAGATAACAAAATAATATGAAAATTAAGTTCATGCACATTAATTCTATAATAGTACAATTTATAGAATAAATTTTCAGTCTTTGTGTAGAAGACATGATAGTTTTTCTTGAATGAATATTATTTAAAATATTTTATTCCATGCTAGTCACCTTCCCATGACTAGGACAAACTGCTGCAGATAATTAGCTAACAAGGATAACAGGTTTATTCGGGATTAAAGTTCTGGAAGTTGCAGTCCATGCAACAGTGGCCTCCAAAGCATTTGGGCCTGCCCGTGGTGAGCATATGGCTAGCTCATGGCCAAAGCACATGGTAGAACAAAACCACTTACCTAATGAACAGAGAGCCAAAGAGGAAGGTGACCAGAATCCAACATATCCCAGTCACTTGGAGATCTCTCTAAGCCTTACCTCTTAATAATAGTTCCTCAGGGACCAATACTCTACACCTGGGAACATTCAAGATAAAGACCATCTGTTGCAAGGAGAGGACTGCTTATTTGTCCTGGCCACCCAGAACCAAAATAATCACACAGAAACTATATTAATTAAACCACTGCTTGACCCATTAGCTCAAACTTCTTATTGACTAACTTTTACATCTTAGCTTAACCCATTTCTATTAATCTGTATATTGCCACGTGGCAGTGGTTTACCGGCAAAGCACGTCTATCTCCAGCGGTGGATCCATGGTGTTTCTCTCTGACTCTGCTTTCTTCCTCCCAGAATTCAGGACTATCTTCCCTGCCTACCTAAGTTCTGCCCTATCAACAGGCCAGGGCAGGTTCTTTATTCATTAACCAATGAAAGCTGCACATGGACAGAAGGACCTCCCACACCAACCATCATTCTGCCATGTGACTCTATAGAGTGTTATTGTTTGGTTAGCTTTGCATGAATGGATTTGGTTATTTGTCGTTTTGTTTCACAGTTCTGAGGATCAGATCCAGCAGATATTCACACAGATAGACAATAACTCCACCACTGAACTATTGCCAGGCCAAGTCTAGACTCTAAAAATCAATTTCAAACTCTATTCCTATGAAAGTCCCAGGAGATGAAACAGTTTCTTCAAAGCAATTTTAATTCAGTATAAATACATCCAGACTAATTGACAAGAGCAGGGATAGACCTGCTCAACCACGAGTTCGAGAAACCAAGGGACCACAGCCCCCAAGGGGAAGAACATCTGAAGGCCCTGCTCTTCTCCCTTGGCCTTCCCAAGCTTGAGAAAGCAACAAGGGTGGAGCTCACAGTGAGGCCAAGGGACCTCAGACTTTCCTCTAGAAAAAGAAAAGAAGCAAAGCCCTTAGCAGGTTGGAAGTGTGTCAAAAGTAACAGAAGGATATTTGAAGACAAGTGGGACTCTAATTCTGTTTTTCGGAGAGCTGTATTCATATGTGGCTTCAGGTAAAATCCTAAGTCTGCAAGTATATTTTTAAGTTAAAAGTCATATCACATATTGACGATTAGTGCAGTTACTCTTTGTAGATGGGTTCTACATCTGCAGACTCAACGAAGCATACATAAAATATTTGAGGGGAAAAATGCAATCGCATCAGTGACATGCACAGATGTGTTCCTTGCCTCTCAACAGCACAGCACGGCACAACAACTCTTTCAGAGCATTTGCGTTTTTAGGTTAAGAAGCCTATAGATTATTTCAAATACACAGAATTGCATAGGTTAGTGAATGCCACAATTCTATTAAACAGACCTGAGCATTCACAGACTTTGATATCTGTGAGGTGATCCTGGAACCAGTCCCCTCTGTGTACCAACAATGCCTTTAGTTGCGTATTTTTTCAATAAATCGCAAATTGTATTACAACTGTGTTCACATGACTTTGGACTTTTCATGCAATTTCACCCTTCCCTTTCCTTTTACCTTCCTATAATATATGCATCCTTGGTTAATTCTAATTATTTGATAGGAAAAAACTTTTAATATTGAAAACTCATATTATTGAAGAGAAGACAGTTATGTCTTTTTATATATTATCTGCATGCTGAAAGAAACTGGTTATTTAGAGCATGAATTTGTAACCAGGACAGTGCATTCAACAAAGGTCCTCACTGTCAGTCAATTAGTAGGAGTAGACAGTAGAAAGTTAAGCATCAACTTGTATAGAATCTATATGGAAAAGAATTAAGGCAGGCAAAAAGTTTGTCCTCCAAAATTAAGGAGAATTCCATCTGTAGGTGTTGTCCTTTCTGCCTCTTTACTTTGTTCCATGGAGTGGACTGACCTCAGGACAGGTCACAGTGTGCCTCTCTGGAGTCATCCCCACTTCCTCGATGTATTAACACCACATCGGTCAGCCACATTTGACTCATTGTCTCTTATGATCTCCCCAGGTGTCATCCTCTACATCTTGCTGGTGGGGTACCCCCCCTTCTGGGATGAAGACCAGCATAGACTGTATCAGCAGATCAAGGCTGGAGCTTATGATGTATGTAATAAGTATTTATACAGCTTTGGATGAGGGTTGGTTGGTTTACTGCCGAGGGCAATGGTTGTTGTTCTTACTTTTTTATATTCTGTCATTTGGCAACCAGTACAAGGTAAATATTTCTTAGCATGTGAAGAACATTTTATCTAATACAAAATATACTTATGCACAAGGAAGATTAACTATGAAAATTGGTTATGATAAGCAATGGATTGGTGTAAAATGTTTATAGTTTCAGATCACAAATTTAAGTCATTGTAACTAAAACTCAAACACATCTTTATTAAGCAAAATAGGCGCTATTATAAGCAATATTTTTGACAGTGAGAAATAAGTTTATTTCTGTTGTATAAAATTCATGTTTTGGAAGTCAATAAATTTTGGGGAAGCATTTCTGCATCCTGTTGCTTGTAAAAGTGTTTTTTAGATGCCTGAAGATGTGTGGTCGGTTGGGTAGAGTCCAGGTGGCTGAGACAGATGAGTTAGCACGTCACAGCCCAATTTGTCCAGCTTTTAAAACGTTGTGCCACGTGTGAGGGGTGGGGGTTATCATAAAGAGTAGCATGGCTGTAGGTATCTGGCCAACTTTCTGAGCACACTTCTCAGATGTAATGGTTTCCTGGGGTTCAAGAAGTTGTAGTGGATGTGATTGGCATCAGATGACCAAACAGTGACCACAGCATTATTTATTGATGCAGTTTTGGCCTTGGGGTATGCTTTGGATCTGTTTCTTGGTACAGCCTCTGTCCAGCTGGTTGTTGTGTGCAATCTACCCCTCTTCAAATCACCGTATGATAAGAAATAGCTTCTTGTTAGGTAGAATGAAAGTTGATGACAGTTCAGGATAATTACTCCAGTCAGCACATGGGGCCCATTTATGATCATGGCTGTCTTGCCAGCATTATTTCTAATTAAGTGTTTTAGAAATTCACACATTAATATTTCAGACATGCTCATGTCAAAGCCAGTGAACCAAATTAAAAAAAAATGACAAGCTTTGTCTTGTTATTCTTTTTGTAGCACTAACCATTGGTATGAATTGATCTATTTTTTAAAAATGAGAAAATTTATAAAGCAATACACTAATTGCAGAAATGAGGACTATATTTAGCTTTTCTCTATTTGACTCAGGGTGTGTGTGTGTGTGTGTGTGTGTGTGTGTGTGTGTTGCTTTTTAAGACAAGATTTCATGCATACCAGCTTATCCTGGAGCTTGAGCTTGCTGTATAACTGAGGCTTCACTGGAAGCCCTGGTCCTCTGCCTCTGCCTCTGCTTTCCAGTGTTGGGATTATAGGCCTGTACCTACATGCCTGGTCTGTGTGTCTGTCTTTACAAACTTCTTACTAATTTCCCTCTTTGAAGTTTCCATCACCAGAATGGGACACAGTGACTCCTGAAGCCAAAGACCTTATCAACAAAATGCTTACCATCAACCCTGCCAAACGCATCACAGCCTCTGAGGCTCTAAAACACCCATGGATCTGTGTAAGTCACTCTCCCCTATGCCCTGGGAGCCAAACCAAAAAGTATACTCTTAGTCGTTTTTAATAGATTTTAAATAATCTTGCAAAAAAAAAGATGAAGCTTAATGCATTTTTTGTCTCATGGTATTTAAGAAATGAATTTTATGAAAGCCACCATTGCCTATAGCAAACTCAAAACTATATAAATGATTGAACAAATATTTATTGGCAGTAATAGGAATGAATAATTCCCATGGCAATTATTGATTAGACTCATGAATAGGGAATAAGAAAATGATACTGGGTTACTGTATCCTAGAAGGAAAAATTTAAGAGTCCAAATGTTTATCATTAAACAGCTTTAAAAATGTGTGAGGTTTAGAAGCTAGAGTTAGTTATACGTAGTCTGAGTTTCTTGCAGTAGCCCTAATGAAAAACAAATCATAAGGAGATCTAAAAACTCCAATAAGTTCCTAGGGTTGAGAGTCACATGTTTAGGTAATGATATAATGCTAAGCAAATGGAAGGTATTCTAATAGAAATGCAGTGGAAAGCTTACTGAAATGATGATCTGAGGAGTTAATGATCTTCATTTCTGCACCTTCTTTTCGTCGCTGTTTGAGCTCAGTCATTAATAGTTTTTACAAAATCGTTCTTTGTTGTGGGTAGCTCAGGCAGTTAGATCCTTGCAAGTTGCCAGTATGGGTGCAGACGCCCTTAGAAAAGATTGGAGGAGACTCTGTTGTTTTTGATATACTTTATCTATCCTTAAGTTTCTTTCTCCCCTCTTCTTCCAGCAACGTTCTACTGTGGCTTCCATGATGCACAGGCAGGAGACCGTTGACTGCTTGAAGAAATTTAATGCTAGACGGAAATTGAAGGTAAGAAATTTGACATTGTTGTGTGGTGGGGCTGGAAAGGTTGATTTGGTGAGGTGAGGAGAAGAGTACTGTGAGGGAAATTTTACCAGAGCTTTTAGTATCGTAGACCTCAACAGTCTGCTGGACGTGAGGGAAACTGGGGTGCTCTCAATCAAGCCCGGGGTGAGAAGTGGGCTGGATGTGGTAGTGTGTGCTGTGGTTTCTCTCCTTGGAGGAAACAGCTGTGCAGTTTGATCTAAATATGACTCAGACCGTTAGAGCTGTCCCAGCATCCTGAGAACCACAGACTAAGGCTCTCAGGAAGCCAAAAGGAAAAAAAAAAAAAAAGCAAAAAATCTGAAGTCCTGTATCAGAAAATAAAGCCAGGAGATTTGTTAGTCCCTGCTGTGCATTTTTAGGTCAGAGATTTGTAGAGGCAATTATGATCTTGATCTCTGTTTTTTTTGATAGGGTGCCATCTTGACAACTATGCTGGCTACGAGAAATTTTTCAGGTATACATGTTTGAACTCTGCTCTTTGTCTTTGGCCCTTCTCTAGTCTTTGTGTGAGTGTGTCTTTAAAAGAATTTAGAAAGTCTAGTAACTACGGATAGTTACTTCTTTCTCACACACACATATACATACATACATACATACACACACACACACACACACACACACACACACACACACACATATATAGAAAGAGAGAGGGAGGGAGGGAAGGAGATAGAGAGAGAGAGAGACTGACTCCTTATACTCCTGTGGCTGTCTGTAGGACTCCATCCAGACTGAATACCCACTTGCCAAATACTGGGATTGCACAAGTTTATGTATGTCTCATTTTAAAGCTGAGCATTTCAAACCTGGAATTTATTATTGATTGATGTTTCATAAATAACTATAAGGGTATTTTTATCTCTGTTTACTATAAGAAATTGCAATAAGAAAGACTTTTAAAATAAGACATTTTGTGGGACCCCATTCTCGTAAGCCTAATTCTTTTTGTGTCTTCACATTCCTTAAGACTAATTACAAGGGCTGAAACTGTCTAATGAGGAATTGCAGGGAACCAACCACATGGGCTCATGGGGATGAAATCCAATAATAGTATTCCTCAAAATGATCACATCAGGGGAGATAGCAGGGAACAAAAAGAGAGAGAGAGAGAGAGAGAGAGAGAGAGAGAAAGAAAAAGAAAAACTTACATATAAACTAAATTCAACCAAGATATTTCTCTTCTTTAAAGTGACTCTCCAGAATGGAGACACAGTGTGTGTTACTTCCAGAAAATTATTTTTAAGTTTTGGAGCCTTCTTTGATAGATTATCTAAAAGCAGTAGCCATCCAAAGTCAAATGTTGGTAAGTGCTAAGCAGACATATATGGAGTAGACTGAAGCAGCAACTAAGCTCAATTTGATAAACTTATAATTTGGGATAGGTCATCAGGTGGTGCATGTCAATCCCAGCACTCAGGGGGCAGAGGAACATGGAACTCGGTGAGTTCAAGGCCAGCCTGCTCTACATAGATAGTTCTAGGCCAACCAGGGTACATAGTGAGACTCTGTTTTTAAAAATAAAAAGAAACGCTTTTAGTTCAGATGTTCAGTCTTAGAACAGTTCTCAAAAGTTGCGTTACTTTTGCTTTTGGATAGTGATGTGCAGCATTTGGTGACCTGTTCTGACTTCGTGTTGCCTAGCCCGGATGTTAAAGTGATAATCAGTCAGCCATCATCATAGGAGTGTCAGACATCCATCAGCCGATTCCTGGTTTATTGCTTAGACCTCTGTTAACAAGTCAGCCCCCCTTCCACTTCCTACTTAGAAACAATGTGAAATGTTAGGCTGGTAAGCAACAATCTCACCAGGCCAGCACAGCGCTACACATTCAGGGGCCGTGCTGCCCAGCTGTTTCATGTTCTGTCTGATGTGCTTGGTCTGACAAGCCATGCCGCTGCCTTTATTAATAACTTGTTTTATAAGTACCTGGTGAACATGATTGACATTTATGTGGGTGAGTTTAATGTCAGTTCATTGAGCATTAACCAATTATGTATATATGACCTTAAACTAAATAGATATTTCACTGTGGCCCAGTGTGAATCACTAGAAATATGCACTAATATATATATCTTGATGGTGAAGAACTGCCTTTTTAAAGATTTTTGTCAGAATTGAGATAACATATTTGGCTGAAGTTTTACATGCAGCCTTAAATGTAAATTAATAGTGCTTACACTCATTTGTAGATGCTATAGTTTACCTCATGTGTTTTTTTTTCACCAATTCTGCAAACTAAAAACCATGACAAATGTGTGGACTTTGTAATGTCTCTGAATGTTTTTGCATGAAAAAACAAACTTTTTACCCGTCTCTTCTACATCAGCTGAATAGCACGAGACTCTGTTACATCTTCTAGTCCATCCTGTACTTGCATTTTAGTCTCGAGTATGTTCTTCATTCTGTTCATTGCCAAATGTGCTCTTTAAAGTAACCGTCCGTACTGTGTGGTTATAAAGCTGTTTTTATTTCTTCTTTTCTCCCTGAATGTGGAATATATTTCTTGTGAGGTAAGGCAGTAGTCACACAAGGGTTGGCTCTGCATCTCCCAAGCCAGACCGCTTCTTTCCCCCAAATCATTGTCTTCTTTTTGCTTGCCACTTCAATTCAAATTATTCTGTTTGTTTTCTAACTTATTAACTGCCATGGGAGTTCACCAGTGCTCCCTTTTAACTACAGGCAACCAGTACCATAACCAAGGCAACTACTGAATCTCCATTGATAAAAAAAATTAATAGCTTTGTTGCTAAAAAACAGATGACATTAATATTTGTGTCTTTTAAATAAATTTAAAGTGTTGCCAGATTGAAAATTAAAAGGAAAAAAATCACAAAGCAAAGGAATATCAATAAATGAAATGTTTGTGTAGTTTAGTTACTGCTAGGTGGTTCATTTCAAATGTCGTGCTCCGTGTGCTTAAATGACTGTATATTAACATTAAATGGCACTATGTGATTGTCCTCCATATCTGTGAGTGTTCTACACCAGTGTACTAATTATCATTACAGCTTTAACTGGCTGTTCACTGTCTATGTGCACGTTTTTAAAAGGATGCTTTCTAGTTTTAATAGTCCGAAGAAATGTGTTAACAATAGAAGCAACACTTGAGCCCCCTGGGAAAAGGAAGTTTCCTATGAGAGCCTAAACCCTAAAGATTTCATTTCATTTTAGATCTTGTTTTAGATGTTATGTTTTTAATTTTTCAACTCAAATATTTTTGCCTTTGTAATCTGATTTTGAAGGCTAAATGAACACAGAATGCATTTTTTATTATCATATGCTAAGCATTTAAAAAATTTGCTCCTGGTCAATAAGGTACCATTTGATGTTCTATAGATATTTCTATTTTCAATCCAACTGAAGTTGCCTGATTTCAAAAATAAAAGAAGTACATTGTTTAGCCAGAGCAAATTTTTGTGAATGAGATTTCAACCTCTGGAAAGAGGGGCTTCAGTGGCAGAACTGACATGGTCACCAGACATGGCAGGAATGAACATGTAGTGGGTCTGCCGGCTGGTGTCTAGAGACCAAAACCAACTTTCTGGATTATGAAGGATGGTCCAGTGAAAGTTCCAGTATCCTTTTCAGGACCAACAGTAACATAAAGTCCAGTGCGCAACTGGCAAAGTGTTCCGTTTCGTGCCTTGAACTATGTAAGAATTGATCTCTAAATTTGCTGTGGCGAAACCAGAAAAGCGATACTGTATTTCCGTGTTGTGTAAGCTCTTGCTCATCGGTGTGACCTTGAAGGCTTGGTGTATGTTGGTCATAGCTCAGCGAAGGTGGCAGGAGACGATAACTTGATTTGTCATCTCACTGTGGCTTTTTGGACAACTCACTGAGGCAATTTTACTCTCATTTTGCAGCAGCCAAGAGTCTGTTGAAGAAACCTGATGGAGTAAAGGTAAGTTAAATGGCTGTCTCAAACTATCTCTGACTTTCAGATGCTGGAGAGTTTAAATGTTACCTGCAAATTCCAAGTCCGTATAGCATCTGTACTAAAGAAGGTATAGGCTGAAGTACAAGATAGTTTAATCCACAAACATGATTATCATTTATGCTAGCATTCAATCATTTCACTAGATTATATATTGACTAGAAAAAGCAATACCTACTATATAAACTGATGTGTAGGTCTCTCTACTTCTCTACAGTTCCAAGCCACTCTGGTGACCTAAGAAAAACCAAATGCTCTTCTGAGTAATTCTTGAGAAGCCTTCCAAGACCCAGGAACAAACTCAGTTGGCCTGAGAAATCAGGGCATCAGTGACTAAGTGCCCCTATTTGGGAAAAGTTTTTTTTTAAGCCCATAACTTTCTTTGTTTCAGTCATAATTATTAGAAATATATTCAAGGTGACTACCCTGTACAGATACTAAAAAGCCTTCCAAGAAAGATGGCGACAAAATTACTTTCTTCAGTTTCTAGCCAATATAGTACAACTTTCTTTCTAATGATAATATCTTTAATAGAGAGTAGCCTATTTTCATAATAATCTTTGTTATTTTTCCAGAATATCACCTAAATGTCTTGTTAATGGTTTTCTTTCTTTTCCAATGGCAGACGCACACATTCCTCTACAGGTCAACCCTCCTGGGAATTAGTTAATATTCTAACCATTGAACTGAACCCAGTCAGGTGGCCAGTTCATATTGAAAATGTAACATGGAAAATCATTTGTCAGTTGGTTCCTAAATTCAAATGGGGTCATTGCTCTAGCACCCGTTTGTGTGTGATTTGAGAATTTTCAGCGCTGGGGTCACTGTGCCCTGTGCTTGCTAGGTCGCCGTTTTCCATTCTTCAGGCCAACTGTACCTTCCTTCTGCTTATTTTACTCATTTGAGATTCCAATAATGACAGCGGCTATCTGTGTCTTCCACAGTGTGGCACTGGTGGAAATTTCAAGTTTCCAGATGTTTCCCTGTGGTCTTCCTATACTGCTCAGGGCTGGAGAGTTCACAAGTCCAATCGACAGTTATTCCCACTGTTACCCTGATACAAAAACGTTTTGAGAGCAGTTTCCCTCCAGGCAGCTGATAGCACCTCTTCAACAGCAAAATGATTGTGTATTCCATGCTTTGGTCATGCTTTTGTTTTCTCTTCCTTTCTCTTTGACTGGTCAATTCAGAAAAGGAAGTCCAGTTCGAGTGTTCAGATGATGGTGAGGATCTGTGTCCACCAGAGTTCAACTACTGGGAAAAATACACACTTAGAAATGAAACAGTCTCATTTACCTGAGTTAATGGAGTAGAAGAGAGTAAGAGTGTCATAGGTCAGCGCTAATCGGCACGCATAGCATACTCCTCCGCTTTCACATTACATTGTTTTTCTCTGATAGAATTTCTTTAGGTAAATAACAAGTTGAACCCTTATCCGTACTCTGTTAATGAAGTTCATCGTCTGTGAGATCAAAGCCCGATTTTCTCCCTGAAAATAAAGAAGCCAGGACACAGGGACTGTTTACTTGTACAGGAAGAAACGTTGTAGGGTTATCTTTTAATTGATACTCATGAATAAATTCAGATATAACTTAATATACTTGCCATGAGTTTACAAATAATGTGAAAGTGATTTCAGCATGGGCCCATTCTAGCTAAGCTTCTTTGAAAGGAGTATGTGTTAACTGAATGAATACAACACCTTGTTCACACCTCCTGAGAGGAATGCTGTATCATTTCAATATCCGATTGCATTCAGGCTTCAGACAACAAAAATACATTGCTTCCATAATACAAAGTACATAAATTCACATGTACATTTAAAAGACAACTGTGGTTGAACATGGTGCTTGATAACTGACTCTTTAAAAGCTACTTCATCTGGCTTTTACTTAGAAATTAATTGATTATCTTGGAATAATATCATATAGATCTCCAAAGCAGGATGGCGTGTCTGTTTTCGTGTATGAATGTGGACAGCGGTTAGAGTAGCCGTGCACTTTGACTGATAAGTTTGTGTGCGTTTAGATACAAATAAGCCACGTTTTTCACAAGCCGTTCTTAACAGCTATATCCTAGGGAAAGTCTGTCTCCTCTCAAAACAGGAAGAAGGATATTCCAGAGACTTTCTCTCTCATTTGCATCTACTGATAAACCCTCAACCCGTTAAGGACGCGTGGCACTTTAATCACGTGTCCTCTTGGCTGGACAAAACGGGGCTGTGCTTCAAGTACTCTCCCTGAATAGGAAGCCACTTGTGGTCATCCTTCTAATGTCTAATGCACCTTGCAGCAACATGAACACATTCTGGTCCCTCCGTAGCCAGCTCCCTTACATCCTTACCTCCCTTATCTCTTTGGCTGTTGCACACACATCGTGTTCAGTTGACTTAAAGGAAAAAAACTCCAAACTGTTTTTAAAATATAGGCTGGTGGTCTAATCTTTAATAAGTTATCTAGGTAAAGGGAATTTTCAATACTGTCTCTCTTTTTGTGTAATGCAGAGCACTGTTTTGTAGCTTATTGCATAGTGCTCCTACCAGCAACCACACAAAGTGAATGAAAACAAAAGCCAAGCATATACCTGAGTTCATTTCTGTTCCCTTGTGTCTTTCTCTCAGTGACAGCCCCCAAACAGCCTGTAGGCCTAAAGTTAAACTAAAGAGTAAACACAAATAATGACTTGTGTTATAACTTGTAAATAACCATCTGCTATGCAGTCCCGTTCCTCTTTAAGCCCCCAGGTATATTTTCATTCATATTGAAGCTATGGATGGATCCCTTTAGAAAATAATATACAATGCAATTGCCTATATAACTTGATATGCAAAACTGGATGTGAATTTTCTGTTTGATAACCATAATGTAATATGTCATGCATGGGTTTAAAATAATATCGATTATTCCATCTCAGTGTTTTATTCTTTAGTCTCACACTCAACAGAGCTCCAAGCCCCCACATGTCTACACAGAGTCTCCTCTGTGGGCCATTGCCATATTTATCAGTCCCATGAGCTTCTTTCAAAGCGTGGCTCCCACGGTAGCAACCACATCTCCTGTAAGGGTAAACTCGCCTGTGTTGATGCAAGGTTTTGGTCCCACCAGAGGTACTAGGCAAGAATAGCGAACAGTCACAGCTGCTGAGCTGTCTCTCGGGCAGCTGTGGCCAAAAAAGTCCCTTCACACTCAAGTTACAGAATGCAGTTTGATTTCTTCCACTTATCAAAGAAGATGTATTCCTAAAGGAGACCCAAACTGACCATTTTCAATAAAACACGTTAATGTCCGCACTTTGCCAGAAGTGTCAGGATTTTAATTAGATACCTGGTAAACAAAGTAATGATAGCTCTCCAGGGAAAGATGGTCTGTGTGTGACTTCAGGCTCAAGAAGAAAATAAGAAGAAAAGGCATAAGATAATAAAGGAATGTGTTTGTAGCAGTGAATAGCTGAAATCTGGAGACAGGATGGATCTAACTTGAAGAGTATGAAAGCGGCTACAGCCTCCTCATACTCTGCATCTTGGTTTGGGCTCACTGAAGCCACACAGAGGAGGCAGCACGCTCAGCGCAGCCACCACTGTTCTCATTCCCATCGTAGAGTCCCAGGCTGCGTGGGATCTTCAGGGACTAGACGTGCCCTTCCGTTCGTGTCCATCATCCATCTCCAGTGGCTCTTTATTTTCATGTCTGTATTTCCATGTAGACATGCTCCTTGTAGACATTGTCTACTCAGAAGATTAAGGCATCTCTGTTTCTATTTTCTGCATATCCACAGATAAACAACAAAGCCAACGTGGTAACCAGCCCCAAAGAAAATATTCCTACCCCGGCGCTGGTATACCTGGACTCTTGTACCTTTCTTAAGTTCTGCACTGTTTGCTGTTGTTTCTCTCGTTTGCTTTCACTAAATCAGTATCTGTGTATCAGTACTTCATTTGTTGTTAGGTTGGGTTTTTTTGTTGTTGTCGTTGTTTTGTTTTTGTTTTCTTTTCAAATACAGAAGAAAAGTTTACATGGTTTGATTTCCTTTTCTTGAGCTAGTTGTCCAGCAGTGTGTTTCTAACACGCGCCTTCTCATTCCATTGTGGGACGTCATGCTTTTCTCTGCAGTTGGAATTCTTGCATGCTGGCTTGGAAACGCAGCAGAATGAGCTTCAGTTACTCTTAGCTCTTCTGGTGATGGTTGCTACTGATCTTGCAAACAATGGTTTCTCTTTCTGCCAAGAAAGGGTTGACATCAAGGAGAGCTAACAGGATTCTTGCAAGAGGACATAAAAGTAGACCTTATTCAGAGTTCCCATTTCTTTCGTACCAAAAGACAACATGGCTTTGCAGCTTTACTTTAGGAGATAAAGAGGCACTGCATAACTCAAAGCTTTCTGCTTATTGTGTTTCCAATTAAATTGTTCACTTTCTTCCACAGAATGAGAGGGTGTGACACAGAAGCTTAAACTATCAGTGACAGTGTTGTCCATTTCAATCAAATATACATAGCTAGCAACTAAGTCAGTTAGTTCTTCACATAGGAATAGTGTTATGCTACAGTGCAAAATCTGAATACTGGCATTTAGTACATAGGGATGTATAAGATTTTCTTCAAATGTTTTCATAATTTGTCTCATGATTCCTAGAGATTATTACTATGCTCAGACTGGTATTGTCATTGACTTAAAAATGTTATGCGTTATGTTACTTGAGTGAGCCAATTAGAGATTTGATTTAAAAAAACATTTGAAGGAAAAGACGTGTCAAGATGGAGGGTTATTGGGCTGAGAGGATAGCTTAGTGGTAGAATATTTTCTTAACTTAGAAGAAATAAATAGGGGTTCAATCCCTATTTCTGTAAAAGGGAAAAAACGTTTTCTTAAAAATGGGTAAGAAAAAAAGGGGCCAAAAACGATAGTGGCTTATCTACTAGTAAGGTGAGTTTCACAGCTCAGTCCACAGAAGAGAAGAAAAGAAGCAACAGTTGTGTTTCTCTAAGTGTGCAATGCAGGCCGTCCCTTGGGGACGTTCCTGTGGAGAAGGCTGGCCATGGTTACAGCTGCTCACAGGCGCTAAAGTGCTTATTAATGTACGCACCAAGCGTGCTATTGCTGTGTGAACACTCAGTCTATTTTTTTTAACATTAGTATTTGAATATATTTTCCACTTAAGAATTTTTTCACAGAAAACTATATGAAAATAATAGTTTCTTCGTGGAAAAAGATTACATTACCTAACAACTTACTAGTCTGCATATGAAGCTCATAAAGCAGAACTTTTCCTTTCCATGTGAGTGGTAGAGGATAGAATATATCAACAGCCTTTCTAATGATAGCGTTTTACGATTAGTTCTAAAAACACTTAAATCAACTTTATAAGTATTTTTAGGTTTTTTTCATGAGCTTTGGAATGTATTCAGTTGGACAGTTTTGTAGGGTTTTTTGTTTGTCCAAATGTGTGGTCCAGTATTTCAAGATTCTCCAAGGGTATTCAGCTATGTGTTGATTATAATAACATCAGAGTCCAGTCCCAAGGCAAGACAGCTGAAAAACAATACCTTCACAAAGAATTTGATGTCTTCTGCAATACTTCCATCTATGGCATCCTTGGCCAATTTTTGTGAGCTAGACAGCAACAGAGTATTCAGTAGAGAAGAAAAGACAGCTCTGCCTGGCTTAGGGCCTGGTGAAACAGCAGGTGCCTCTTTAGATCTCCAAACTGCAAAGGCCTGCCTGTTTGCTCATCTATCAGGAATAAGGTCTCCTGCATGCTGCTTCTGGGTAGGGAGGTGCGTGATCTCATAGACTCACCAGGGAGGCCTCCCCAGAGATCCTGTCAGCTGTTGACAGCCCTTGACATGGCTTTAGCTCTCGTCACTCTCTAGTCCTGTCTGTTGGCTCACTCTGCTCTGCCCCACAGCCTAGTAAGAATGTACTTACCAATACGAACTGTTTCTTTCTCTATTTTGTTCTCACTCAGGAGCCCCAAACTACTGTAATCCACAACCCTGACGGAAACAAGGTATTCAGAAAGAATCAACACCATTTGCTTTGATAAGATTGCACATCTCATCAAATGCCCTGTCCAACACTGATTCCCGATCTCAAGTGGGAAAGAAAAACTTGGCCCTCTTTCCAACACGTACTCTTTTGTGCCTAATAGGTCTAGAATTATGCATAGACTTCTTTCAGATCAAAAACGATGGCAGCCTGAAAGAGAAATCAGTGATCCCTTAGTAAATAAAAAAAAAAAAAAATAAGGGTCAGGTTAAATCTTTCTGTTGAGATGACTGTACATTAGACAATTCCATGTGGTCTTTTTATTTCTCTGTGCCTGTTTGCTCATTGTGTGATAAACACTCATAGCATGAAATTTCAGAATTTCCTGCTGTCCTTCCATTGTCTTCAATAGAATGACTTTGTTTCTTTTTTCCTCAAACTTGTTTTTGAGCTTCTCAGTTGTCTTCTGTTGTCACAGTGGTTCTGTTGTTGCTGTTGTTGTTTGCCTGTTCTTTAGTTCCCTGTTATTGATGATATTGCTGGTGGTGTTACTGTTTGCCGTGAATGTGAAGAGCATCAGGAATTCCATTTCATGTTAAATATGTTTGTTGTCCATCTATACAAATTATAGCAACAGATATTAAAGGATTATGTTGAAGACTAATGTGTTTTACTTTTTATAAATTATGTGTATACCGTGTTCATACCAACACTTGCATACATGTCTGAGGGATTAAAAAAACATTTTTTATATGTATTCTCTGTCCAGCTCATCACTTGTTATACACTATAATATCTAAGGGGAGGAAAAAAATACATGACTTTTCTAAGATGCTCAATACAGTCACAGGTCTTTCCCTTCCTGGAATCAACAATGTTGGAGGATCAGGAAATACATTTCATCTCTGGTTCAGTAATTCATGGACCCATATTGAAAATGAAGTGTTTTGTGTCTTAATCTGAGATGTACACTAGTGTCATGACACTGGGGATGTTCTAGGTCCCCAGAAGGAGTTGAGGTAGTCAGGGCCAGCACATATGAGAACAGTCCCATTAATGGCACTATCAGATGGAAAACCAGGCGTAGCGGCTGAAGTGGACACTGCTGTAGTTCTAGCTCTGGCATTTGTAAGAGTTACTGCATGGTATTATTGCCTACATGAATTCATTCCTTTTTATGTGCATGGTTTAACCTTTATTTTGTGTTTAATTCTGAATGCCACGTCACATTAAAGAAATGCATGAAGATTTTTTCCTTGGTTTTGTATGTGTGGAGACTCTGGACAGTAACTAGTTTATCTCTTTAATTTAAATATTACATATGGTATTTATAGAAATAGATAGCTTTCCAAAAATGCCGAATCTATAAATGGACACTGGTGTGGATTATTATTATTATTATTATTATTATTATTATTATTATTATTATTATTACTATTATTATTATTACCTTCCCAACCTGTTTTCCATTCACTGAATATACAGCTATTGCCTGGAAGTTCGGTCCAAATTATTTTAAGCTCTGGTCTTCAATCATTCCAAGTGGAAAATGAAAAGGAATACTTATGAGTACTGTAGCATGCCTTTGCTGGAAAATACTTCACTGGTACATCTTAATGTAACCACTTTAAGAAATGTATTTTAACCACCAGCGTCTGCAGCGCACTTTCTAGTGTGCTTACTACTCTTCTTCTGAATTTGTAGTTTTACAAAGAACTTTGTCTTTTCATTGTGGAAAGAGATTTTCTTTTGAATGACTGACTGTTTCTGAGTTAGAAAGGAATGAAAAAAGTCTCGCTGACCTTGAAAATAAATAATTCATTATGATTCCACTATCCTAAACATACACCCGACACAGTTTCTGACAACTCTGATCAGCCTGACTCTGCCAATAGCTCCAGCTTCTGAATGAAGCGATGGAGGAATGCCTTTCCTCTACAAAGGGGGAGGGTAGACACATAGCCACAAATTCTGTGCTTGACACAGTGCCAAACACAAAGAAGGTGCTCTTCACTGATTGGTCTGTTAGAAATAAAGCCATGCATTCTAAGTTTCAAGGTTATTCTGCTTAAATATTCCGTTTTTCCTCCTAAAAACACAGTGTGAGACACTAGAGTATGAACTCATCTTACTCGATTCTTAAATAAACCCCATACTTCTTCTGCTTCTGCACCTCACCTGGGTTCATCCTGCATCAGTGACCAGGTGGCCAGAGTACTCCCTTTGACATGTTTGCAGCGTATGACATCTTGTTTCTGTTGAAAATCACGTGATGCATTTGTCCATTTGCATGTCAGCGTATGCACACAGCCTGCTGAAGAAATTTGCATGATATGTCTGTTCCACCAGCCAAGTTTGTCAGAAGAATCAGCTCTTCTCTGTGTGACGCTCTAAACTGTCTTTCCTTCTGAACAGGAGTCAACCGAGAGCTCAAACACCACGATTGAGGATGAAGACGTGAAAGGTAGGCTGGGGCCAAAACCTGGGAAAGCCCTCACTGAGAGCTCCACGTGCATTTAGCAAAGCCTGTTCCAAGTGATCAATAAATTTAGGTCACAGAGAAGGCTTATCCCCAAAGAAATTCATATTCATTTTATGAATTCATTACTCTGAATAATGAAACACTGTGAATATGTCAATGTTTTTTCACATTTTATGTGTTTTAAACTGAAACGTGATCGGTGAAAACATACTGTTGACATCACAGCTAACAATGACTGAGGTTAAACACATCAGTCAAATTCAGTATACAATATATATGTGCTTTAGGTAAATCATTAAAATTTGTATAGAAGACTGTGTTCAAGATTATATTCAAAGGAGGTGGTCTGAAATACACTAGTATTTTCTCAAACTTTTGTTTGAATGGCATTCTGTTGAATTCCTGTGGAACTTAATTTTGGAAGTCTTTTGCCTAGGCTTCATACACTTTCCTAACATATTCTCGACTTCTGTTTCAAATTGTTTGCCAAAGTTTTCTAACTGTTGAAATCTCTCCATAAACACACTCAATATGCACTCCTACTTACTTCCTTTAACCATGTGACTGGTTGTAAAGTGTTAATTTTCCTACGGCTTTGTATTCTTGTTGTAATTCATTATTTGCAGCCTCGTCCTCAGTGGTCTGCTTGGCTAGAATGTATTCTGAAAAAGAATTATAATGATAAAGATATTTAAAATAAAAATTTTAAAGAAATAAAATAAAGAAATATTTTTGAAGAATTGAAAGGTGTGGTTCAACAGTTATCTAAATCTTCACTTGGAAATACCTTCCCTATAAACATCACTAAATGCTGTAATTTTTTAGGTGACATTAATATAATAAAGTCCCGAAGGAAAGGAAATGTCCTTGTGCTATAGAACAAAGAACCAAGAAATCTCAGATCAAGGAGAAATGTAGAGAGTTTAGGGAATGAAAATGACTGCAGAGTGCAGCTAACACTCACTTCTGCTGACTTTTTTCTTCTTGGTTTAGTGGAATGACTAAGACTATTAACACGCATTCTTTATATTATTAGTGCACTGCCCTCCCTCTACTACAGGGAGCCCCTCATTGTTTTTGTTTTTTGTTTTTTGTTTTTTTTTTTTTGAGTGCAAAAGTGGAGAGTGGGGTCAAGGATACAATTAAGTCTCTTCATCCCCCTTTTGCCTCTGATCTAAAATTTGAACAAAAGTAGTCTTATGAATGTGTTAGATAAAGACAGTTTTGATAGCCGAGTAAACAGATGTACCATTTAGCTTTCCAAGGAGCATCATCTTGTAAGTGTTTTAGATTCATCAGCTCATCAACTGAATGAAATCTTATATGATTTTGGTATCAGCTTATCTACGTGTTTGGTGGGACACCCAGAGAGGTTCTAGACTATTGTGTATCAGAACAAAGAATTAAGCAAAGGTTGCTGCCGCTGAAATAGAAACAGAAAGCAGATCATGGGAGAGAAAGCTCCCAGCTCAAATAGCCCTGTTTCATGAAGGATGGGAGTTTGTATGTCACAAAGTGTAAGCTTTCAGGCTCATTTGCATAGCCTAGTCTGTTTCACACATAAACTATTACATGCAATTCTAAATACAGCTCCATGCATTCCATGTTTCACTGGCCTCTACAATCTCTGCTTGAGGAGGAGTGCTTTAATATTATAATGAGCCACAACACTCTGGTGCTCTGTGCCTGTTCAATGCCAGGGTACAGTTGGCCTCAGCTAAGAGGACTCTTCAGCCATCCACTTTGCCAGCAAGTTTTTCTCATATGTTCATTATTTTAGCCTTTGCTGAGGCTTACTAGATCTTAGTCTCCACCCCATGCTCTGGCCTCGATTTTTCACCAAGTGTCTGAAAACCTATCCATTAGCCACCAGAGGAACCGAATCTTTAAGTAACTGATTATTTAAATAGTCTTTAAATAATAAGGGGAATGAAAACACCTCAGTATACGGAGCTCATCCATCTAGGACATTTTCACACCTTGGTAATTATGAGAATGGTTTTAATTTGTAATGTTTCTCATCTGAATTTGACTGGAGTCAAGTACTAAATACTTGCTCAGGATAGCTTACTTTAATTTATATAAATACCAATGCCTAATATGAGTCTCTCAGTTGGGCATGATAGTACACCTCTGTAACCCCAGCCCTTAAGAAGCTGAGGCAGAAGAATACAGAACTCCAGGTCAAGTGTCCATATAAAACAAGTGGTAGGTCAGCCCCGGTGGACATAGTGAGACATGCCTCAAAGAAATAAATCAAAACCAAACAAATCAAAGGTTCCCTCTGGAATTTGAAAAAACTAAAGGATGAGTTTTTTAGAGTTATACTGAACTCTCACACACACACCAAATCTTACAGAAATTAAGTATAATATTAAGATTAAAAAGCATAATATAATATTAAAAGAAACGCCTAGTTGATAATTGAACACAGGGCTTCATTTGTACTCTGGAGTCTAATGAATAAATTACATTTCCGCTTGATCGTACTAGTGTAGAGCTGGCCAGAGGCATAGATATGCCCATTAGGCATCACTGTCTTCTCTCTAAAACATGTGCAGCTGTTTGATAGCTGACAGACTTTTAATACTGACGGACTCTGGAAACCAGTAGGACTCGAAGGTGCTTCAGAAGACCTCAGACATCATTCTAGATGTAAGGGAGGTAGAAGATGAAAGACTGGACATCATTTTAATGTGTTTGTTTTGTTGATGATCTGCTTTTGCAGGAATCCCCCCCTCTGTTAAATCACTGTATAATTCCCCAAGAAAGGCCTGATATCCTTAATTCATGTGGATAATTTTGCTCTGCTCACCCCAGGATTTTCCATACTCTGTGTAATTTAGTAGGAAGTATGTTTATCATTTTGCTCTGTTAGAAGACAAAGTTACATAGATATCTTCCGCATAGGAACCTTTAAAGACCATTATATAATTTGACCAAAACCATGTCCTTTATGCCTGATAATATCACATCTAGAACATTCCTTTCCTTCCTTCCACTGCTTATGCTGTCTGAGCAAGGTTGTAGACAGCATTGTTACTCAGGTGAAACCCCACACTTGGCATCTAAACATTTCCTTAGCATAGTCCTAAGTACTAACACCTGTTCTCCCATGAAGCACATCTGGCAGCATCACCTACACCGCCTACGCTGCTTCATTGAGGTGCATGGCCCTTGCTACCATGTCACAGGCTTCCCATACCAATGCTTGGTCCTGACCAGCTACACCTGGGAAATGAAACTTTCCCTCTCCTCTCCACTGCAGAGGGTTTGGGTGGCTCACACATAAACTGGCCTAATCAAAGAAAGAAGTATATCAACAACACAGTTCCTTCTCCCAAGGTCTTAGGGATAGCCAGAATATTAATCACCAGGCCAGCTGTCTGCATAATAAAGTCAGCAGAAGTAGCAAATAGATGACTGGAACTTTCTAAGCAGAGACTATGGATTATCCTCGAAGCCAGGTCTGGGAGCAGAGTGGTTTCTTTTAGGTCTACTTGTTCAGTTTTCTTTAGTGGCTTGGGCTCTCCAGGCTCCTGTCTACATGTTAATTTTGAATTGCCTAGAGTAGGTTATCTGGGTCTCTTCACTCACTCAGCAAATACTCCACTGAGTATCAGTTTTTCACCTGAGCTCCTTGTAAACTAATCATGGTCAAGGGATTTCAAAGATGCAGAGCCAACACCGCACGTATGTTATACAGGAAGCTCTTTTTCTGGAAGGTAGGCTCAATTCTCCTAATTCAATAAACAGTAAGGGAACAATGGGAAAGTGAGACTCAAGATCTCCCCATGATTGAGCCAAAACTCTTTTGTTTGTTTTGGTAGGATTTTAGTTTTGTTTCGTTTTGTTTAAATGTAGTTAAGAATCTGAGTTTGGTGACACCTTTCCGTAATCCCAACACTCAGGAGGCTGAAGTTGTAGGATCACTAGTTGGAGGCCAACCTCTGCTATGTAGAAATAGCCTGTCACAAAACAAAACATATCCGAGTAAATGAACAAAGCTAAAATATTACATTACAGTGACCTGTTCCTTCCCAAGCATGCAGTCATCCTGATGACTTCCTCTGTGAAGTGATCTTACAAATCTCCCAGAGTGCACTGTCCTCTTCCTCCAAAGGCAAAGTGCTCACATCCTAGTGTTGACATTTTGCATAACTTTCTAATATTGTCTTGTGTTTGGGTGTTTGGAAGTCAGATATTATTTTTGGTGCTGCATCAAACTCAGCTGCTGTTTAGTGTCATGGAGAGCTAGCAATAGTTTGGAAGGTAATGGCATCATAACAATGGGCCGTTACTGCCATAGACATGAAGTGGTCATGGCCCATAATACAAAATAAAATTTCTGATGCTAAAATTTAACTGTCTTCAAAATTTAAGCCAATAGTCCAAAATTGTTGTACTAGCTGTTTGCATTTTGAATACATTCCTAACATCACATTAATTGCTAGTTTTATCAACCAGTGTCACCAATAACCTTTCCCTAGTGACTGGCACATCTAACAGTGATCCTTTCTATAGGCATGAGGGTCCGCTTCCACACTGTCTGCATGTGAAGACTGTCCTTTGGTTTGTGGCTGTGGCCACAGTTTGCAGGGCCTGTCGCTGTATGCCACATTGCCTCTCCACCTCCTAACCCACCCAGCATCATTGCTCAGCGCCAGCTCCTTACTGATGAGCACACGCCTGTTTGCTGCACCCGCTGCTCTTTCCCAGCATGCCAGAGTTGTGTGTCACCCGTGGAAGCTGGGCTTCTGTATATCCTTGTCATCCTGCCATTCATCCTGCTTCCAGCATGTCACTTCAGCTCACCACTCAGCAGCCACTCACTCGGATCCCTTGCTGCCTGTCATCCACCTTGCAGGTCTAGCCCAATGCAGCTCAGCACACCGAACAAAGATCCCTAGTTCTGGGGTCAACTGAGAGGGGCTACATCCTTGCTCAACCCTTCCTCTATTTCGTGGGGTGGTGGTAAAGAA